AGAAAAAAAGAAGAAGAAAGAAAAAAAAAGGAAAAAGAAGAAAAAGAAGAAGAAAAAAAAGGAAGGGAAGAAGAAGAAAAAAACAAGAACAAGGGAAAAAGGATAAAGAAGAAGAGAGGGAAAGGTCATAGGGAAGATGAAAGAAGAAGAAAAGAAAAAAAAAAGAAAAAAAAAGAAGAAAAAAAAAGAGAAGAAGAAGAAAAAAGAAACAGAAAAAAAGAGAAAAAAAAAAAGAAATAAGAGAAAAAAATAGAAGGAAGAAAAAATGAAAGTGTAGTGACAAAATATGATGTTGGTGTGCTGCATGTGATAACGTGCACTTATTCGATCATCAGCGAATGACATTATCGGTGACGCGCGTGTGATGGCACGTGGTGACGTTGGCGACTGAGACCGCAGGTCCCAAGATAAAATCTGTTCCTTATTTTGTGTAATATAGTTTCTAAAATTATTCAAAATTTAATATATGTATTTTCTATTATAAACGAGAAAAATTATCCAAACGGTATGCGAATTTCTGAGAGGACCATATACCAAACTAGAAAGGATTCCTAAAGCTTTTCTGATCACACCATAAGTAAGAATTATTTGTATTCCATATGGAGATATAATATTGTGCTTATAAATTATAAATGATGTGTGTAAATATAAATATGTATAAATTGTGTGTGTGTATGTTTTGTGTAAATATTAATTGATGATAACAGAAATTATAAAAATAAATACGTGAATAAATATATACATGGTATGTTTGTGTGTGATTGTGTATACGTGTTTAAGTATGAACATGTGTGTATGTATCGGTAGAGATTGTGTGTGTGTAAATATAAATATATATTCTATGTCAGACATGTAGTAAGAGTATATGTCTGTATTGTAATATATATGTGTGTGTATTAATATGTGTTTACATATGTTATGCATGTGAAATATATACCCACTGTGTGTACATGTGGAATTTAGGTACACTGCATTTGCTGTGTGATCTGGTGCAGATATATAGTGCACTGTACTTGCTGTGTGATCTGGTACAGTTGCACGAGAAATCTAAACATCTTGTGCTTACCGTGTGATCTGGTACAGTTGTACGAGAAATCTGAACATCTTGTGCTTGCTGTGTGATCTGGTACAGGATGATTCAAAAAGTGGTTTGGGAAATGTATGACTCTGATGTGCATGATGATATTGTATATTTTGTGGGTGTGTGTGTTTGTATTTTATTATGCATAGAAATTGATATCTTAGATACATAATAAGTGAATTGAAAATATGAGAGATTTAGAAAGAGCATAGAGTGTAAGGACCCTTAATAACTACTTGTTTAGTCTGAATCAAGGAGAAAAATGTGCGTGTGTGGCTGAAGTTCAGTAAGTATGGTGATCCTATACATGGATAATGTTTGAAACCTAGTACAGACGTGAATAGGTATTTGTGAGTTGGTTATTAAGCAAACATAACTATTGTAGCCAATGTGAGATTATGTGTCTTATCCATGCGATGGGGGGGTCCTTTTCACCTCTCCTCGATGATGATATAAATGGCATCGCGCATGAAACCTTCATGTGATATTCACAGTATTGTGATATTTATAGTATATATATGATATCCGAGTGAACGTGTGATATTCAAATAGAGAAATATTATGAAGAAAAAATGTTAACTTTCTTTATAAATCCGAGTATAGTAGTAATATGTGTGTCTGAGTAAATCTGTTTTTATTTGAGGACTCTGTTAATCCATAAGTGTGATTTGAAATAAGAACAAGAATTAAATAAGAAGTGTGAGAATTAAAATATGCTTTTTGATATGATTTGTTTTATTGTGTACTTCGATTGTGATACTTTGTTTGATTTTTATTGACTATAAATATTATTATATTTATACATTACGTGAAAGTATGTACATAAGTCTCCGTTATAGAATCATTTTTCTTACTTAGCTTATGAAGTTCATCCATATTCACACCCCATTCAGGTAAGAGAAGATAGAAACAAGTCCAAGATTAATAAAATATGATGAAGAAAACTTTATTAACTTTTATTTTAATATTGTAAATTAATTTAGATACCTCAATTATTTACAAATAAATAATTATTTTGTCGCAAAGAAAATGTATTATGGTTTAGTTCTACTGTATATTTAATATTTATTTACTCTACTAGTTGAAAATATTGTGCTAACGTCCGTACCCACCAACATTGGGGTTCGGACTATTACATATTCCAAAAATAACAAAATTATAGTACAAAATAAAGCTGATAAATATGATATCTTATTACACCATATGTATTACATAACAAAAAGTATATATATTATCAAAAAGAAACTATTTTTCTGACTTACTAAAATCTTTGTATTGAACTTTCCATTATGATAATGTAAATAACGATAAAAACTTGTGTAAAAAATATTTGTTTTAAAAAAATCACATTTGTCATTAAATAATTTTATTGAATCATTAATATTCTTTCAACTAAATAGTTGATGTCTCTCAATAAGAGTTTTTAGGTTTGAATTTGACATGTATTACTATATGTATGTTTATATATTAATTAATTATAAAATATATGATTATTTTTTACTAGAAAAGATTCATGAGATCCCGTGGCCATTCAGTTCTACATTTGATTTTCTGCCCATTAAATAGTTATATTGAGAATTTACATTATTCCATTAAGTCAGTCCACATGACCAGGGACATTAAGACCATTTAGTGGACTTTCATTCTTTTAATTAAATTAAAGGATTATTTTAATTAATTTTCTCCTAATAAATGTCATATTAAATTTATTCAAATCCAAAATCTTTTAATTAATCCGTGAACAACATGAAAATGATACAATTAATAAGTCAATTGAGTTCATGAAGTCTATTAATCCGTAAAGAAGGATTAAGAGGGTCTAATAAATTAACTGAGTGTTATTGTATAAAATTAATTAATTAAGCTCAATGCTAAAATTTTTTCAAAAAATCGAGATAGAATGGGAAGGTTAATAGACAATCCACCTCTGTGCCCATCTCTAGGTACAACAATAATATCTGTTCAGTTCTACAAGCATATGAATATCAAACCATCTCCTCACACAACAATTTATTTTTAGTTTTAATCATCTTGAGTTTCTTAAATGACCATCAGAATATTAAGGTTTGTAATCCCTGAACAAAAATAATGGGATGCATCCTTATCGCAATGGGTTGTTCATGCTGATGTCAACACATAATCGTTCACACAATCACACTAAGTTCTAAAGACAAGGAAACTTCTTGACGTAAGTACGGTTATAACCTCTTTAAGAAGAGAATTTAGTTATTTCATAAAATATTTAGATAGTTTTTTTTTTATTTTCTAGTTGTATGATACAAGCAAGTTCTTAAATATTTAAAAAAATTTAGACTTGATGCCCAGAAAATGTCAACGAGGGGGAAGGAGATTAAAGTGCTAGC